TCAGTACTTGATTAAGGTCATCGGGAAATATATTGTCATATCTTAATGTTCTTTAGACAAAATACATAATACCTGAACAACTATTAATCAAAACACAAAAGTACTGTAAGCTATTACAATATTTTCTCTAAAAAGGTCCATCCAAACACATACTAAAAGTATGGGTAAAAAAATACCTTTTAATTGTTATTCAGACATAGCTTACGTAGTTGGGCACCCCCAAAACTTCTGAATATATTTGAAATGTTTTCCCACAAGGTCGGTGTTAGATAAACCTAGCAATATTTGAAAGAGCAAAACTTGATCAACGCAAGTTTGGGCCACTGTGTATATGTGATAAAATGTTTATTCTGGTCAACTGGTCAATACAAGTGATGAGAAGAATGAAAATAAATACTAAACATATCTTACAAACCGTACGTATATCTTACCCGCAATAGAGCCCTAAATTTCGACGTTCTGAATCTCGAAAACCTTCGTGGAAATACTTTATGACCGTGGTCAGTTTCGCTCTATGTGTTAATATCTACAGCATGCCAAATTTGAAAAAAATATCCGAAATCCATTTTCCATTAGCTTTTTGCGGGGTTATTTCAAAGTTAAACTTCAAAATGCTCCCGAAGTAAAAAATAGTAGATTTATGTCTGACTGTCCAGGTGGTTGACTTCAAACAGAAAATTTGACACACTGTATCTTGAAAATAAAGCATAACAGCAAATTAGATAAGCTTTTCATTTTAGAATTACACAAGGATCAGGAATCGCTCTTCGAAGGCTCACCAGGTACTTTATTAACACCTTATAGTTCTTTAATTCTTTACTGACCACTTCGATACAAGTTTGTATACTAAGTGACATATAAATCCGAACACCCAGCTTAAATGGTTTTATTTTAGTAAAATTTTGTATAAGTACTTAATGAAGCATAATAAGTAAATGATAAAAATTTAAAAATGATTGCACTGCTTTAAAGCCCTTTGACCTTTAATAATGTGTGGATGCACCCTGATGTGCTACGCATTCTCCAACGCGCCTAGGCATGGTTCTGATCAAGTGGTCAATGTCCTCCTGTGGTATCTAATTCCAGGCGACCACCAACTCCTCTCGAAGTGCTTCTAGAGTATGAGGAGGACGTTGCAAATTGACCAATCTCCTACCCATCATATCCCACACGTGCTCAATTGGGGATAAGTCGGGAGATCTTGGTGGCTATGGTAACAATGTGACATCATTATGTTGAAAGAAGTCTATTGTGACTCTTACAACATGTGGTCGGGCATTATCTTGTTGGAAAGTTGGATCTGCCAGGGTGTCAAGATAGGGTAAAAGATGGGGTTCTAGAACTTCGTGGATATAACGCTGCGCGTTCATGTTACCTCTGATGAAGATTAAAGGTGACCTGGAACCATAAGCTATAGCACCCCGAACCATAACTCCAACAGTGTGATGAACATGTCTTTCAACAAAAAACTGTGGATTCCTCCTTTCACCACGTCGCCTTCTAACCCTGGCACGACCATCGTGCATGCCTAAACAAAATCGAGACTCGTCACTAAAGACAATACTGTTCCATTCCTGATCCCAGAGTGACCGTTGTCTGCACCAGTCAAGGCGATTACGTCGGTGTTCTCGAGTTAAAGGGAGGACCCAGTGTGGCCGGTATGAAAACAAGCCAAAACTTCTCATTCGTCGGTAAACACTTCGCATGCCAATAGGTCTTCCGTGTTCTGCAAACTATTCATTTGCAATGGACCTGGTAGTGGAGAAACGGTCCCTTAAGGCCAATAATCTTAGGCGGCGATCTTCACGGTCTGTTGTTCTACGGCGGCGTCCAGTGCCCCTTGCTCTTTGCGTACGGCCTTCTCGAAGCCATGCCTGATAACACCTAACCACAGTGTCTACACTTCTTTGCACTCTAACTGCAATTGCCCGAAAAGAAAGTCCAGCTTCCCGAAGTCCCACTATACGGCCCCTATCAAACTCACTAAGTTGACGAAATCGTACAGGTCTCCGTACTCTAGGCATCGTAACCGATCGTAAAGGATGTCATGAACCAAAATCCGCCAACGTTGATTCTTTACTGCGGCTGAAATATTCATTTTTAGAGCGTTAGTGAATTAAAAAAAAGCAGTATAAAAACCGGAATGTCCAACTGATAAGGCTGAACATTTTTTCACTTGTTATTTACAGTAAGATAAACACATTCACCAACTTTTATTAAAATAAAACCATTTAAACTGGGTGTTCGGATTTATATGTCACTTAGTATATATACGTTGAAAAAAAGGCCAACCTAGATACAGAAAAATCTAATTTTTTGTAGCTTAAAAGCAAGTTTAAAAAGCTCTGCACCAGTGAATCCTCATTATTTGTTAAAAAATATAGATCCCGCATATCATAAATATTGACGCCAGGTTCTTGTTCTTGATATTTCTTTAATTTTTTTACAGTTAAGCTTCGGTTAAAGTTTAAAAAGGTGTAGGTAGAATATTTCTATGGATTTTTATGGAAAATATCAATGAAAAATATGCATCTGAATTTGAAAAATATGACAGATTTTCATAGACATACAGTCAAGTCAACCAGCAAATTATGACCTGACACAAAATTACCCCAAAAAGTTACTATCAATATACTGTCGTCAGATGTAGCTTTTTCTTAAGTAGCAACTTGATTCGACCTCAGCTTGGATGTAGGTACCACGCTTCACACATATACCCTCATATACCTAGATCGATAACTCTCCGTAGAGATTCTAGTTATCGAAGTCGACATTTCGCTATAGAGCGACTCGAACGGCTCCGGACTTGGTGTAGGCTCCGGGCTTGGAGTCGGTGTGGCCTCGTCTTCTTCTTCTACAGTCTCCCCACTATCTTGATCGATGATACCTCCCTGACCTGCTTCTTCATCCGCGAATGCAACTGGTTGCTGTCTGATACCTCGCACTAACGACCATAACATGAACAGTAACGTCAGCATGGTCGGCTTGCTCTCACCCTGCGCATGGTTCCCGCTTGGAAGATGAACACCAAGTCACCAATTTGATAACCGAAGTCAACTCAAATTGTTTTTCACTGTAAGCTTAGTCACTCCTGAGTTGTCACGCTGATGCCTGATTTGGCAGCACGTGAAAAATTACTCATATCAACAAGTCAACAGTTTGATACCGCAGTCAAGCGTAATTATCTTCCTGGATATCTACCTGATTTAAAAATGTGTCTAAGATCATCAAATCGCAATTTATATCATAATTAACTCAAATTGTCTTTCACTGTAATCTTGTTTCTTATATGCCCTCCAACTTAGCCGGCTTGTACTACTACAGTGAACTCAAATAGCCTTCCACTGTAAACTTGCTTCTTGTATATTTCCGGACTTACTTGGCTTGTACCTGACTTGATAGCAAGTAAGGATTCATTCAGATCACTCACGTCACTAGTTCTATAACTACACTCAACTCGAATTGTCTTCAATAAGCTTGCAGCTTATACACTTGCGGGTTTAACTGGCTTGTACCTAATTTGATAGCAAGTGAGAGTTGATTTAGATCGCCCAAGTCTCCAATTCCATAACTGCACTCAACTCATATTGTCTTCCACTATAAGCTTACTTCTTTTATACCTCCAGGTTCGACTGATATATGGCTGATTAAGTAACAAGTGAAGATTATTCACATTATCAAGGGACCAATTTGATAACCGTTGTAACCTCAATTATCTTTCTCTGTGAGTATACTTCTTATATACCTTCTGAGGTCACTTAATGGCCTGAGTTTGTAGTCCGGTGGTAGTGATAGCTTTCATTGTTCGCACGTTCCCAAGTCACTTGTATGACAGACCATTATTGATTCTCCGCTAAAATAAATCCTAAAAAAGGTTCAAAGATCCACTGCTCATGTTTTGTTAATATCCTTATGCTCAGATTCCGAATACTTTTCCTAAAATCCAATACCCAGTTGAATTAAAATCTTTGGGATAAGCAGACTTGGGGGTTTTACTTGACTTCTATCTGTTTATATTTTTCACTTATCATTTTCTTGCTTCATGAACTCCACATACCTGATTATTTCGTGATTCAAGAACGGCTCACGTAGGATCGATGAATAATCTTTGAAATGATTTAATTTAGTAAAATACTATGTACTGGAGTGTTTCCATGTTAGACCGTACCAGTTTTTGTTGTTTGTCTTTTCATATCTATAGCGGATTTATCATGTGTTTAGTATTTGAAATTTTGTTGATTGTTTGAATGGAATTAGAATGTCAAACCCTTGGTTACAGTTCTTAAAATGTGGACGTAGACAGCTTTATACAGTGTATAGATTTGAAGGTCCCTGGATACGCATTGTAAGTAAATTCTGTTTATTGTTGATGAAGTAGTTGTGGTCCCAAAATCTTAAAATATCTAACTTAGTCAATGTTGGTCATTTCTTTTGTCTAAGTTATTGTGATTACTGAAATATGGTTATTTGCCAAACTACTTTAAATGGCTTATTGGCTTTGTCATTGTATTGCTGTTGTCACACTTCTCTCACTACAAACACTGAGTTAATAACTATGTGTATGAGTGATTGGATAGAAAGAGACTAGGATAAAAGTGATCAGGATAAAGGATGCTTATTTTGAGATGAATGTTGTCGGGTGCACAAGAGGTCCACTATTGCATGTTGTTGTGATGGTCCAAGTGTGTTCAGTGTTCATGCATCCATCACATCATCAAGTTCGGGTTATTGTGTTCCTTTTCGCATTCTGTTTAAACTGTGCTGTTCCATCGAAAAACATGTGCTCATGACTGAATTGAGATGCAAGGTGACCTATGTCATGTTTTAATTCATGCCTTCATTGGAGTATCGTCATCATGTTCAGGCATATGCATAGCTACAATCAATGAAACTTTCGTTAATAGTAGTAGAAAGGCATTAGAAATTACGTTGGTCTTTGCACGTTAACCGAATCATAATAGGGAGCAGACTACTGATATTTTATAGATCAAATATTATAGAAAAGTACATCTCAAAATCATATTCACGTTTGTACATACGAACAGAGTGTTAATAAAGTACCTGATCAAGCTTCAAGGAGTGATACTTTGGGTGTGTCCAAGAAGAAAAGATCAAATTCCAGAAATAACGTAATAACCCTTCAGCCGTTTTTAAAAACCTTTTGAATTTAGTGTTTTGATTTCATCCACACACATCTTATTCGGTTTAAGCTAAATTTCCAGCGCTATAACTGATTCTATTTATTAGTTTTTAACTATAATAATATTGAAATTGAATTTTTACGAAAATCGATATTTCAAAAATAGTTTGGCACACGTATCGTTGAAAACAAAGCATAACTAGACTTATGTCTATATGAAATTTTTTCTTAAAATCACCCAAGAAGTAACCCCTTGAAGTTTTGCCGTATGTTATCTACTTTGTACATATAATATTGGGTGTATTCAGGGAAAAATGTTTCCCTTTGCTTTAGAATCGAGATTATATATAATATAGGTTGAAATGTTCCGCAGGGTCTTTAGATGAATATGATTGTGTCAAGCTTATAACTGTTAGGAAAATCGCAAAGTTTTTTTACTGATAATGTACATTTTTTAATATACTGCCCACCCTCAGGACGAATTTACTGCTCAGTGTGATGCTAAGACAGGGGATCGGTCTGTGAATAATATCTGCAAGTAAGCTGTGATTCAATAGATAAGGTCTCAGAAGTATTTTTCTAATATATGACGAAGCTTTAGACAGACATAACGGACAGAGTTAGAGATTATAGAATAAATTCTTCATTTCATAAAATAGAGCCGACTACTGGCTTACGTTTAACGGAAAACCAAAATTAAGATTTGACCGTAATGACAGTACCTTTTTTCGAATAAGTAAACTGTTTCGACCAATATCAGTTATGGGTAGACCAAGCAGTCTAAAAAATAATATTAATCTATAGACCAACAATGAAGGATCCAATATAACCCAAAAGCAAGGTTCATTTTATTTAGTAGTTTAGAACCTGGGTCCCTACCACATGTCCCAATTCAAAACAGACCTCATTTAATTCCCAAGAAATTGTATTCTAGAAAACGAAAAAAAAATGGAAATGATCTAAAAATTTTGTGCTGCTGACTTCATAGCTGATACATACAAACACTTTCATGTCTGAGACTGTACCAGTGGTGATGTTGGGAAATTATATCCCCTACAGAAGAAAAAAGAGAATTTAAATCATGCCCCCCATGACATGTTTTTCCCAAACCTCACAGAACACTGTGAAGGTACTTTGTCATTAACTACGAACCAGGGGTACATCTGGCCAATGCTGTTTATTCACAACCCACCAAATATGTAATCTCTTTTGATGTTTATTGAGATAAACAGATGAGTAGCCCGTAACTTCTTTTTGTGACATCTGTACTGTTGGTAAAGTCCAGGACCAGATTAAGGACTGGTGTTTGGTTTGTTTACACATACATTCTTTCTCTGAGTGAGAATTTTGTCAATCAAATGTAAACTGCTAGATTAGGAATTTATACGTAATGTACAGAGCAGTATCATCTGAAGGGGCGTGGTGAGATGACTATGTCTCTGTTTACTCTTTGCTGACCAAATATGACAGTGATATTATGCCAATAATTTCTTTTTTGTTTCACAGTGTCAACATCCTTCGAGGAGACAGCTGGAATGAAGATCGTCATTTATTTTATGGATACCAAATTTATTGTCAATGCCATCAGGTGTTTGTTTCCTAGTTTCAAGAATCAATTAGTGTTTTACATGTTTTTTTTTTATTGAGGACAATTTTGTTTGCCTTCACCCATTAACAGTGTGTGCAAAATTGTTTTTCATTCACATATCAGAGAGATTATATTTGTATTCCAGTCAGTCCTCTAACTACAGATGTATTTTTTGTTATTTTAATATTTATGTTTCCGCAATAAATATACATGATCAATTAACAAGAGATAGTGCTTGCATGATATTGCACTGATCAGGTTCATAATATAGAGAAAAATCGAGATTGGTAGAATACTTCTATGTATGTACAATGTATTGTAATGAAGAATTTGTTCTGTTATTGCTGGGACTGTTCAATAAATATTTTTTTAATTATACTTTTTTTATTATCCTAAAATTCATTACTAGCCAAACTGATGAAAGAAATACTTCCTTTATTGAGGATGTGTTATGCATCTATGATCATCGAACTGCCTCAATATCGGGAAAGTCATCAGTCAGATTTCGTAATGTAAACAAATAATGAAATCGCCGGCACATTCCTGACATTCCTGATATGCGTTGTCGGCATACTTTCAATATTTATAGTTCCACCAGATTTCCAGCCAATTAAGGGAGCGCTGCCGTCGAGGTTATAGTCCAAGAAATATCTTCACATCTGCTCAGAAAAATATTCAGATTCGGACTTTTTGCATGTTATTCGAAAAAGCCTCCTAGTAACAAATCTACATGTTGTCAGGCCCGAAATTGCGTCTCTAATTGTCTGTACAACTTTTTCAAATAAATTCCAAAAATTAATGTTTTCGCTTCATCAAAGGCAGTATTCGTTTTTTTTTTGATACTCCGAAACAAACCGATGTTTGACAATGTTTGTCAAAAGTTGATTTTGCACGAGATGGGAAAGTACAAAAAATTGCTTTTGCGATACCGAAAAACGATCTGAAAAAACGAAAATGTTAATGTCGCCATGCTTCATAAATAACCATTAACACAATTGCGATACCTTTTAAGAGATACTGTTATTATAAATCTTTGTATTTAATTGATATGCAAGCGGATGCTCAGTGTATATTCAGCGTGCACGAGAGATATTTCATCTATCTCTCGCGTTCACATAGACTATACATTGAGCGCGCATTCAATTCACAATTACTATGCAAATATTTACAATAACTGTACTCCTTAAAATGCTCTGGGGGTTTTGTTATTGGTTGGTTGAAGCATGTGTGAGATTTGGCAACATCAAAATATTCATTTTTCATATAGTTTTTAGGGTAGCAAATGACATATTTTGAGTTTTTACATTGCTTATAAATATCAAGTCTAGAGAAAAGTTCTAATGCTCATTTTTTGTTCAGAATGTCCTAAATACCGCAAAATACTTTGAACAAAGCGAACGAATCAATTTTTAGAATCGGTTTAATAACAACTTTTGGAGCAATTTTAGGCCTAGTCACATGCAGATTCTTTAACAGAGGTCCTTGAAACAGATTATGCAAAAATCGGATACGGAAGATTTTTCCGAGCAGATGTTCCGATATTATCTGGACTATTATCCGAGTTCTGTGACTGATTACCAGTGCATTGGCGCAAGCGTGTCAATATCAAAGCTGGTCCGCCAGTCCACGTAACAAAAGCCACAAAACACTCTTTCATCTGCTACCGTGACGTTAAACATATGATTTTATTAGTGTGTTTAATGTTGATATTGTCCACCATACATCTTAGTAAGTATTACTTAAAATTCAACACTACATCCTGACTGATCTTTTCTTCCGTTTGCAGCAGAAAACTGCGCGGCTCTATTCACTGGATTCATGAGCTGAAATTTGTTAAAGTAAGTCGTAGGTTATACCAACACTCATGATCTTTATATTGAAACTAATCTTACAATGCCAGAAAGCTAGGGGATAAGAAGTTTCTCCTGGACTCAAATTGCTAACTTAATTGAATGTTTTTTCTATAAAATATTTAAAACCTCAGAGACTAATAACCCAAACTATATAGTAGGGGTCTCGCAAGGAAGTTATAAAAACATCCTATTTTTGGGCAATCCTAGGTTTAAACGAAATGGAATCCAGAGCCGCCAACTTGAAAAAACTGTATCGCGCGTGATACTAGAGGAATCAATTATTTCTGATAAGATATGCAGACATCGTAGAGATAATTATCGATATATTGATAAATCCATGTTTTAGTTCCTCCATTATTCAAACTATAAATCCAAAACCATCCAAACATACATTAAAATAAAACCATTGTCTGGTTTCTGCGCAACCGACAGATTCGACCTACGTACATTAGACAGTGACTAATGGGCAAAGGTCCTACGGATCATCCTGATGACATTCGTAGGGCTACAAATCTTGTCCATGAAGTGATAAACGCACTGCACGAACTCCGCAACGAGCAATGGAGCGACTTTCTGGCGGGAATGCTTGATTCAAGTATTCCTCTCTGGAGGGTCGCAAAGTCGCTCAGAAACGGAAAGCGAGAACAACTCCCACACATCCACGGTCCTGAAGGCATAGTCTTCAGAACGGAGGATAAGGTCAAGGTTTTCGCTGATGCCATGGAAAAACAGTTCTCTTCCAACTGTGCTCTCGATAATGACCTCGACGAGGAACAGCACATCGCACGATCCGTCAGGAGATATTTTAGGACCAACGGCGTTAGCGGAGGTCCTGAATCCTCTTCAGATGACTCTTCTTCAGAAGATTCGTCTGAGGCTCCACATAGCACATTAGCGGAACCCTCCGAGTTTCCACATTGCACACCAGCGGAGCTCCTAAGTTATATTAAAGACCTCAAGGTGCGTAAAGCACCTGGGGAGGATCAAATCACCAACAAGGTGTTGAAGCTGCTCTCGCCGAAAGCCCTGACATACTTGGTGACAATAATCAATGCGACGCTCAAAATCCAGTACTTCCCTGCTGGGTGGAAGACTGCGGAGGTCATCATGATTCCAAAGAAGGTGAATTCGATATTTCCTCAGGATTACCGTCCCATAAGTCTGCTGTCAGCTCCTTCTAAGCTCGCCGAAAAGGTGATTTATCGTCACCTTGAGAATTTTTCGTCAAATCACCATGTGATTCCTGACGTCCAATTCGGTTTTCGGTCCGAGCATAGCACCGAGCTACAGGCTGTCAGGCTGGTGGAGCATGTAACCAGAGGGTTCACCCTCAGCATGAGTACTGGCATCTTGCTTTTGGATGTCTCAAAAGCCTTTGACAAGGTGTGACACGCGGGCCTCCTCTATAAACTAATCCAAAAGGGTTTTCCTTTTTGGCTTCTAAAATTACTGAAATCCTTTCTTGAAGAAAGGAAGTTTCGGATCAAACTTAACAATGTTTTGTCAACAACACGGCCAGTACGGGCCGGTGTTCCTCAGGGTTCGGTC